AAAAAAAAAAAAGGTACTTGTGACATAGGCTGAGGAGTTTATACTTGGTCTTACATTGAGTGGAAGCTATTGAAAATTTGAATACGATAATAGTCGTCTCTTAGGTCGGGAAGATTGCTGTGGCTGCATTGACAGAATGATTGCTGGATGTTGAGACTAGGGAAGACCAGACCTTCATGTGGTCATTGAAATAATCTAGGGATTGGCTTGGCGTCCATAGCACAGTGGTTATGGCGCTGGCCACATGCACCGAAGCTGGCAGGTTCGAATGCAGCCCGGGCCAGCTAAGCAACAATGACAACTGCAACAACAACAACAAAAATAGCCGGGCATTGTGGTGGGCACCTGTAGTCCCAGCTACTTGGGAGGCTGAGGCAAGAGAATTGTTTAAGCCCAAGAGTTGGAGGTTGCTGTGAGCTATGATGCCATAGCATGCTACCAAGGACGACATAGTGAGATTCTGTCTCAAAAAGAAATAAAAAATAAAAATAAATACGGATTTTAGGCAATAGATAATGGTGGTCTGAATAAATTTACTAGTCTTTAAGGTGGAGAGACAAAGTAGATTTGACAATCACCAACTATGGTGATTGATTGGGGAGGAGTCAAGGATAGTCAATGATTGGTTTTCACTTGGATTATAGTGTCCTCTGAAATAGAGAACTCTGGAAGAGGAACCAGTATTTCTTTCTTTCTTTCTTTTTTTTTTTTGTAGAGACAGTCTCATTTTATCACTCTCGTTAGAGTGCTGTGGGATCACACAGCTCATAGCAACCTCCAACTCTTGGGCTTAGGTGATTCTCTTGCCTCAGCCTCTGGAGTAACTAGGCAGTATTTCTTTTTGTTTTGTTTGTGATGTTTTGTTTGTGAGGGGGGGGAAGGGAAGTCTTCATTTTAGACACTTAACACAAAGTACCTGTTTATGTCCAGATGGAGATGTCCATATGCTGTTGATTACATGGGTCTGGAATTTAGAGAGAGGAGACTGAGCTTATGAGTTTCTAGCTTATAGATAGTATTAAACTTGAAGTTATGGGAATGGGTAACGTGACCCAGCAGAAAGTGTGCTATATAAATGGTAGCGACTTCCTTTTTTTTTTTTTTTTTTAAAGAGATGGGAGACTGGGGTAAGGGATTATGTCACTATTTTGCTGGTGGTGAATTTGAACTCCTGGGTTCAGGGAATCATCCTACCTCAACCTGTAGGGTAGTAGCTGGGACTGCATGAGTGCACTACCACACTCTGATTTCAGATAGCAGTGACTTTCAGAGGAGGATAGGAAAGATGTGTTTCAGGGTAAATGGAACACTTACTTTTTTATTTTTTTGGTAGTTTTTGGCCCGGGCTGGGTTTGAACCCACCACCTCCGGCATATAGGGCTGGCTCCTTACTCCTTTGAGCCACAGGAGCCTATGATAAAAATAGGAAAGCCTATGATAAAAAAAAAAATGGTTATTTAAATACAATTGTTTGAAAAAAATCCCCTGACCTTTAAAATTTTTTTTATAAATCACAGAAAATAAACCTCAACAAAATCTTGGTTGGCATAGTGGTTTTCAGTTCTGTGGTGGCCTGAGGATTGCTTCTCTTGTGGGAACGTATTTATCACATGTAACATCCAGATGTATAGTGAGTGATGGTACTTTTGCTATTGGCTAAAACTGTTTTGGATTACCTATGAGTTTGTCCGTATTGTTTGCCTTTCACTGTTCATAACCCTTGAAAACAAAAGATCTCCATATTTTAGAAATTAGCTGGGCATAATGGCAGTCTCCTGTAGTCTCACCTACTTGGGAGGCTGAGACAGAGGATCACTTGAGATAACATAGGAAGACCTTGTCTCCTAAAAGACAATTTTGCCTGTCTTATGAAATGAAACTTTAGTGAATTGAGGAAATCCTATTTATACTAAAATAATATATTATTTGTAAAACATGTTATTACTGAGGGAGTTGTTTATTTTATTATTATTATTATTTTTTACTCTGTCTCCCTGGGTAAGAGTGCAATGGTAATCATAGCTCACAGCAACCTCAAACTTTTAGACTTGAGAAATCTTTTTTCATCAGCCTCCTAAGTAGCTGGGTCTACTAGCATGTACCAGTAAGCCTGGTAGTTTTCTATTTGTAGTATAGATGAGGTCTAGCTCTTGCTCAGACTGGTCTTGAACTCCTCAGCTCAAGCATTTCATCTGCCTGGACCTCCCTGAGTGCTAGGATTGCAGATGTGAGGCACCACGCCCAGCCATTGAGGGAGCTGTTTAAATACTTTAACCACTATAAAATATGTTACTTAGAGGCTGGGTGCTGTGGCTTCCTCATACCTATAATCCTTGTACTTTGAGAGGCCCAGGTGGGATACTCGCTTGAGGCCAGGAATTTGAGATAGACCTGAACAACATAGCCAGGCTCTGTTTCTACAAAAAATAGAAATATTAGTGGTGTTTTCTGGCCTGTGCCTGTAGTTTCAGCTACTCTGGAGGCTGAGGCAGGAGGATTACTTAAACCCAGGAGTTTGAGGTTGCAGTGTGCTATCATTACACACTCTGGCCTAGGCAATGTATAGTAAGACCCTGTCTCAAAAAGAAAAAAAAAGAAATATGTTCCTTGAAAAATAGAAGGATTGGCTCAGCGCCTATAGCTCAACCGGCTAAGGCGCCAGCCACATACACCTAAGGTGGTGGGTTCGAATCCCCAGCCCGGACCTGCCAAACAACAATGACGGCTGCAACCAAAAAA